ATAATCTCAGGGCTAGGATGAAAGAGACGTTACTGGGGCCTGCTCGAGGCAATCGACGAATATATTCATCTTTCCATATAGACTATTTATCAGGTGACAAGCTACTTACCCATAAATAAATGTGGCTTTCCTCAAATGTAGCTATGGTGCCTGTACTTGGAATACTCCACTGGTCAAAAGTAATTGTATTTAAAGGGTCATTATATGTTCTGATGTCATCAAGAAGTCTTTTTACTCAGCAAACATTTATCGCCAGTACTCTCTGAGCTCCATCGCATCAAAAGTAAATGTCATTCCATAAGGGTATCTGATTCCAACTGGGGATTATAATTCAGTGTGCTAAATTAGGAGAACAATGCAGGAATAATTACATAGGAATGAAAATTTTGTTCAGGAATGCTTTCTTTGAAGAGGAGCATTTCTTCTGGGTTTTTGACAGATGAATAGGGTTTAAGGTTTTTAGACTTGATAAGAAAGGAGAAATCTTCCAGGAAAATGAATAATTTCAACAAATGCTTACAAGTTTTACTTTTTGCTCAGCTACCCTTAGACTAATACAAGTCTAATTTATAGATTTCTTGCACAAGTTTTCTTTTTAAAAAATTCTTTTCAAAAAAATCCTCTAAACAAAAGGGAATGCCCTGCCACAGAGGCAGGGGGGGATGGGGGGGATGGGTGGTGGGAGGGATACTGGGATCCGTGATAGTGGGAAATGGGAACTGGTGGAGGGATGGGTATTTGATTATTGTATAATTGAAACCCAAGCACAAAAATTTGTAAGTCTACAACTGTACCTCATAATGTCTCACTAATAAAAATTTAAAAAAAATTCCTCTAGGCTTCTTTGGATTCCACTAAAATGCTAATAACATACAATAGGGTTGCATTAAAGATTCAAAGCAAACATATCCAGCTGCATTGCTTGGTACAGACTGCAGACTTCACAGGTAGGTGCTGGTATACTCCATGTTTCCCTGAGGGTACTTGGAATTGATTTACATACTGTTTTTTATTTTAATTCTTTTGTTTTGAAAGAGGCCTTCTCAGCAATATTCTGGGCCCAAGGACCATGGTCTGTATGGGTCTGATTGTGCTTCACCTCTTTAAGGACATTTCTTTGGAAGCAAGGATGTAACTCAGCAACAGAGCACTCATCTTGCATATGTGAGACCCTAGGTGAGACTCTCAGCATAACAAATAAATAAATAAATAACTGCTACCTGTTCAATTATTTACCTAGTTTTGGTCTCTTAAAAAGTGTATTTACTGGGGTAAGAGAGCACAGAATTAAAGTCACTTGCCTTGCACAATCCTGGCCCCAGTTCAATCTCCTGCACTGTATGGTCTTCTAACACCACCAGAAGTGACGGTTTAGTATAGAGGAGGGAGCTCTGAGCACTGTTGGGTGTATCTCAAGCTCCCAATCTTCCCCCTCTCCAAAAAAAGAGAAAAAAATCATATTTATTGAAGAAAATTACTCCTTTCAACACTTTGAATCTTAAGAAGTCTCAGGGAGGGAACATGGAAACACTGATAGAGAGAAGTTGACACTTGGGATGGGATTGGTGTTAGAATATTGTATGGCTAAGTTGCATCTATCAGTAACTTTGTAAATCATGGCTCTTAGTTAAATTTTTAAAAATTTTAAACTCTCTTAGTTTCATTTATTTTTTTTTTTATTAGTGGAACACCATGAGGTACAGTTGTAGATTTACAAAGTTTTGTGCTTGGGTTTCGATTATACAATGATCAAGTACCCATCTCTCCACCAGTGCCCATTTTCCACCACCATGGGTCCCAGTATCCCTCCCACACCCACCCCCCCATCCCACCCTGCCTCTGTGGCAGGGCATTCCCTTTTGTTCTCTCTCTCCTTTTGGGTGTTGTGGTCTGCAAAAGAGGCATTGAGTGGCAATCATGTTCAGTCCATAGTCTACTTTCAACATGTATCTCCCCTCCTGGGAGGATCCTCCAAACACCCTTTATTTGGTGCTCCCTTCTCTATCTGAGCTGCCCTTTCCCCTAGAGTGCCCGGCTGGCCTCTAAGCCATGGAGTAATCTTCCTGGTACTGATCGTGGCTATTCTTGGGTATTAATCTCCTATTTTGTTACTTTATGTCCCCCAGATGAATGCAATCTTTTTATGTCTATCCCTCTTAGTTTCATTTATTAATTGTCCATTGTCCTCCAGTTGTTCATGGATTTGCTCGAGTGGGCCCAGTAACGTCTCCATTGTGAGACTCGTTGTTACTGTGTTTGGCATATTGAATACTTCACAGGTAGCTTGCCAGGCTTTGCCATGCGGGCGAGATACTCTCGGTAGCTTGCTAGGCTCTTCGAGAGGGGCGGAGGAATCGTGGAGGATTCAAACCCGGCTTGGCGGGCCATGCGCAAGGCAAACGCCCTACCACTCTGCTATTGCTCCAGCCCACATTTATTAATTATAATATATAACATATAATATTTAGTTCTACTTTTTCATAGATATAGTAGATAAATTTTTTCTCAGGTAAAACATTAATAGTTCTAAAATTTTATTGTCTAATATGCAAACATGTATATACAAAAAGTTCAGAAAATATCTTTATAGTAAGTTAATGACTATAGAATAATTTCACTTTCTATGTTACATATGCCAGTAAGGTTTCAATCTTTTAAGATAAGTACTATTTTATTTTTTCTTTGGGAGCTACACCCATAATTTACTGGTGGTACTCAGATGTTACTACAGGGCTAGAATGATAGCACAGCAGTAGGGCGTTTGCCTTGCACGCAGCCAACATGGCTGACCCGAGTTCGATTCCTCCGCCCCTCTCGGAGAGCCCGGCAAGCTACCGAGAGTATCTTGCCCACACGGCAGAGCCTGGCAAGCTCCCCGTGGTGTATTCGATATGCCAAACACAGTAACAACAAAGTCTCCAATGGAGACGTTACTGGGCGGGCCCGCTCGAGCAAATCGATGAACAACGGGAGGGCCTTTACCTACCTTTACCTTTACTCAGATGTTACTAATTCAGTACATAAGGGTAATGAGGGGGCAGGCATTCCTAACAGTAAAGCATGTGATCCAGCTTTTTGAGCTATCATTCCAGTCCCAATTTAATTAATTATATTATTTTTATTTCATTGTCTATTTCACCTTTTTGTTTGATGTAATTTATTACTCTTATTTATTTTATTTAATTTATTATATCACTTGCTATTGTTTAATTTTATCATTGCATTTGTATAATCAGAATTACTTTTATTCTATTAATTTTGTTTTATTAACTTAATTCACTCTACATTATTTACTACATTTTACACATTTCATTATTTAACTTTTAATTTTATTGATAATATTTCTGTAAGTGTTGTAAATTTTATTATCTTGTTTATTTTATTTTTGGGCTGGAGCGATAGCACAGTGGTAGGGCATTTGCCTTGCACGCAGCCAACATGGCCGACCCGAGTTCGATTCCTCTGCCCCTCTCGGAGAGCCCAGCAAGCTACTGAGAGTATCTCGCCCACACGGCAGATCCTGGCAGGCTACCCGTGATGTATTCGATATGCCAAATACAGTAACAACAAAGTCTCCAATGGAGACGTTACTGGGCTCGCTCGAGCAAATCAATGAACAACAGGAGGACAGTGACAGTGACAGTTTATTTTATTTTTATTGGGCCCCTCAAGCAGTGCCCAGGAGACCCTAATGCCCTGTTGGCAATTCTCAACTAACTGGGTTTGTGGTTCAATTGTTGTGGCCACTCTTACTTGAAACACCTTTGTTTGTGACAAGAGTCTTGCCTTGCACTTGGCTTTGATGGTCCTTAGTCCTGGGGTGCCAGAAACCTGAATCACCTTAGCCATGCTGAGACCTCCTGGGGCTGTAGCCCACTATGCCTGGGGGACACACAGTGCCGGAATCAAACCCAGGCTGGGCACAGGCGAGCAGCACCGTGTCCTAACTGCTGAACTATCTCCTTTTTTTTTTTAATGTAGTGTGTAGAATGGGGGATTGAATTGTGAGCTCATGCATGGAAGTCCTGTGCTTTAGTCTTGAAGCTATGCCCTCAGCCCTTATTTCAGTTCTTTAATTAAAATAATTGTGTTTCTCCTTATTGTTGCCAAACTGGTTCTTATGCAGGTATCCTATTAAAGTTTCACAAAACAGAGTGCAAGACTTTATCTATTTATACCCTCCTGATTCCTACAGAATGTCCTGCATACATGTTACTGAAGACTTAATAATTCTAAGGATTTACATATAATGGAATATACATTGTGCAGCTTTGGTGATTAAAAGATAAAATGATTAAGTTTCCCACTTAATGTGAAAGATACAAAGTAATATTTTTACTGTCTGAAGTCACTGTTCTGTGCTTCAGCTTGAGATTGTGGAATAATATCCAACCCAAGACTTGAAACATCACTGGGGAAAAACCATCTTCCCGGCTGTCCAAGGCGTCCACACAGGACCTCACTTGTCTTCAATGGAGACAGCACAACCTCACCCCAAAAAGGCCTTTTCAACTCCCCTCCAATATTTTATCTGAACAGCACATTTCCTTCCTCTTTGGAAACAAGACCTTTTAGCATGTCAGAACTGTTTTTCCATGACTCCTGGGGAACTTGCACAGAAATGGGAAGTATCAGATTCAAAAGTCAAACATCAGAGTCCTGTAAGCATGAGGAATGGGGGAAGGTGCAAGGACACCAGAAAAGGTGACACCCACTGACAACAAACTCCAGACAGCCTTGCAACCAGAATCACCAGGAAAAGGAAATGTGCTCTTAACTCCATTTTTTGAGTACTTACTTAAAAACACACAATGCAATTAAGTGATTACATCTTCTTTTTTAGGAGAGTAAATAACAACAAGGAAACAGTGACGTGCGGATAGACCCCTTTGGCAGAGTATAAAAGGGGGGAGTGGGGCCAAAGAGATTCCAGAACCCCAGAACCTCACTCTCCTAAACACCCATCCACCACCCACCCAAAACCTTCACCCTTTGACACCATGACCGGCTCCTGTTGTGGCTCCACCTGCTCTGAGGAGGGCTGCTGCCAGCCCAGCTGCTGCCAGCCTTCCTGCTGCAGGACCACCTGCTGCACCACCAACTGCTGCTCTGTGCCCAGCTGCTGCAGCCCCTGCTGCAGCCCCTGCTGCCGGCCCTGCTGCAGCCCCTGCTGCAGCCCCTGCTGCAGCCCCTGCTGCCGGCCCTGCTGCTCCAGCTCCAGCTGCTGTGGCTCCAGCTGCTGCCGCCCCTCTTGCTGCTGCATCTCCAGCTGCTGCCGGCCCTGCTGCTCCAGCTCCAGCTGCTGTGGCTCCAGCTGCTGCCGCACCTGCTGCTGCCTGCGCCCGGTCTGTGGCCAGGCGTGCTGCTGCACCACCTGCTACCGCCCCACCTGTGTCATCTCCACCTGCCCCCGCCCCATGTGCTGCGCCATTCCCTGCTGCAGCTGCTGAATCTCTGCTCTGAGCATACCATGCCTTCTTCCCACAGATAGAGACCCTCTTTTCTGAAAAAAATAATGTGAATTTTTTGAGAGTTCATCTCTGGAGTTCTGTAAGCAAAGCACAGACTGGTTCATTCTGTAATTTCTACTAGAGTCAATTTCTTATGGTTTGTTTCTTCTCTGTTTTCAAATAAACTTTCCTGCATATAAGAATTTATGACATCATTCCTTCTTTTCATGTTCGCATTTCTTAGCAGCCAAGCAATTACATTTTACATAAAGATAAAGGAAAAACAACCCATGTGAAATCACTTTGTGAAATATAGTCTATGGCAAATATAAATCATTTAAGATACTAGGACAAAGAGATGGGTTATGTGTATATGTGATGGTGAATGTGGCAATATTCTAAGTTGAATAGACTTCATTTATATCTTTAGTTTTTTTTTATTAAACACATTATAATTTTTAAATAAAACACATCATACCTTTAAACATGACATCCTTTAGTACTATTGCACTTATTTTAGAGAAAGGACAAAACCTAGTTTCCAGTATAAGTCAAAGAAGGAAAATATCTTGTAAAGCAATTTATTTGCTGATGAATTTAATTTTTTCATTCTATTATCTCAGAATCTATTATCTCCAGTGGATAATATTTTCTATTGAGAAGAAATGAATATTTAATTGTCACTTTAGAAATATGATTGGGCTGGAGCTATAGCACAGCCTTGTACGCAGCTGACCCAGGTTCGATTCCTCTGCCCCTCTCGGAGAGCCTGGCAAACTACTGAGAGTATCTTGCCCGCAGGGCAAAGCCTGGCAAGCTCCCCATGACGTATTTGATATGCCAAACTTAGTAACAAGAAGTCTCACAGTTTGTTGTGAGATGTTACTGGTGCCTGCTTGAGCAAATCAGTGAACAACGGGAGGACAGTGCTATTGTGCTACAGAGATATGATTAATATGTTTTTTTTAAAAGCCTCATATACTTCCTCTCTATATCTATGAGTTATATTCCGTTGTCTTTCAGACTGCTTCCTCTGGGTGTGTGGTATGTTCTGAGTGTGGTCTCATCAGTTTCTTAATAATTCAAACATCTCCTCACTTAATATCCTGTCTTTTGTTGACCCTGGAAGGCTAGATTTTCAGACCTTTTGCATTTCAAATCATTTTAAAATTGGGATTGACCTGTCATCTTGAGTAGCCCTCAGCTGAGCTGCCCAACAGAATTAATTTCCAAGAATGGAGCCCTGGGTGAACTGGGAAACACATATCCAAGGATTATAGCAGGGTCTTCCTATAGGAAGCTCTGATGGAGATCTCTCCCTTCTAGAGTGATTAACCAATAACCAGGTAATAAGATTGCCCTGAGCTAGTGAACTGATCAGGTTTAAGATGATTTGTTCAGACATCAACAACAGTCCCCCTTATGTTTCTTCAGATATCTTTAGAGAAATGTTCCTGAGGGCCTGAGGGGGTAATCATAGAGTCACATGACACCTTCTTGAAATAACATTATGCCCCTTATTATGCAACTTTTGGCATCCTCCTGAACTCATATGAATCAAGAAGGAGGACAGTAGGATGAAGTTCACTTCACATCTCACAAGACTATTGTGATATCCTCAGATGTGAAATCACAAGGAGAACTTGCAAACTAAAGTATTGGGGGAGAGAGTTCTTTACATACCTGAGATTTTTCTCTTTGTCAGATTGGAAAGAAAAAATATTGCACTTTATTTTATCTTGTTTTATCTGTGACAGTGGAGCAGGGTAGCATTATGAGTTACGTCAAGTTAGGTTTGGAGTTGCACGGAGAAACTCCTCTCCTATGGCATCCATATTCCTCCTCCATCAGTCAGTAAACACAATGTAGAAAGAAGGTTTTAATGAGAAGCTTAAAGTTTACAGTACAATTTTTACATTAAAATTTAATCAAAGTAATGTTATAAATCAGTAAATATAAGGGATAGTTTAATTAAACCAATAATGCAGGGGCTGGAGCGATAGCAAAGTGGGTAGGGCATTTGCCTTGCACGCGGCCGACCTGGGTTCGATTCCCAACATCCCATATGGTCCCCCGAGCACTGCCAGGACTAATTTCTGAGTGCAGAGCCAGGAGTAACCCCTGTGCATCACCGAGTGTGACCCAAAAAAACAAAAACAAAAACAAAAAATCCAATAATGCAAAAGAAAAGAACTAATAAAATAGAAAAGGGTTGGCAAAAAGGGACCCGTGGTGGTGGAGGATGGGCGCTGGTGGAGGGATGGGTACTTGATCATTGTATAACTGAAACCCAAGCACAAAAATTTGTAAGTCTATAACTGTACCTCATGGTGTTCCACTAATAAAAAAAAAACATACAACAGAAAAAAAATTGATCAAAGTCATAAAAAGGTGGTCAAAATATTGACACATAATATTAATTGAAGAAGGAGTGCAATCAGCTACAAAGAGAGTCAATATTTTGGGGGAGAGTGGCTCATATCCAGTGAAACTCATGGGCCACTCCTTGTACTGTGCTGAGGGTGCTTCTGGGTGCTTTGGTAGCTTTCAGTGCCAGGGTAGAACCAAGGTAAGGATCAGCTGCATACACGGCAAGCAATTTTTTTTTTCTTTTTGGGTCACACCTGGCAATGTTCAGGGGTTACTCCTGGCTCTGCACTCAGGAATTACCCCTGGCGGTGCTCAGAGCACCATATGGGATGCTGGGAATTGAATCCGGGTTGGTTGCATGCAAGGCAAACGCCCTACCTGCTGTGCTATTGCTCCAGCCCACAGCAAGCGTTTCTAGCCCCTGTACTATTTCTTTGGTCACAGCAGTCAAGTTTTGTTTTTCTTTTCTTTTTTTTGGCTACTACTTATTCCGGCTCTTTATTGAGGGATCACGCCTGTGGTCAGGGAACCATATGTAGTGTCAGGGACTGAATCTGGGCCATCCACATGCAAACCTACTTACCATACCCAACAGCCAAAGATTTTTTAAAAAATAAATTAGGAAAATAGAAGTTTATCTTAATGTATTGGAAAATTACAATTAAATTAACTACTTAAAGAAAAATACAACTTGCCAAAGTTAATTCCATAAGATTAATTCAATAAAAAAAACTTTCTATTCCATTAAAGAAACTGACAAGTCTATCCTCGGCATATATTGACATTAAAATTATTACTCCCATATTGATTTAAAGTAAGAGAACTAAACTTTAAAGGAAATTGTCACCAATTCAAACTAGGGTCTGGGGAAGAAATTAAAAGAGACAAATTTCCTTAGCTATTTTTTTGATCTTATGTAGTTACATTTTTCTTGCACTAAACCTTTGAAGATTTGCTCTCTTAGCAACTCTCAAACATGTGATCAAGTATGATTAACTCTAGTTGTCATGCTGTGTGTTTCATCCTCAGGATTTATTATCTTATCACTTGAAGTTTGTAGCTTTGGACCCTCTTCAGCCATATTTCACCCACCTACTCACACCTCTGGCAACCACTGTTCTGTTCTCTATATCCATAAGCTTGTTTTTTGTTAGGTTGCTCTCAGCTCGTTTTATGAAACAACTATAACCATGCTATCAAAACCAGACAACAACAGTATAATGAAGTAAATTCTTGAAGAACATAGATGCCAAACCCCAATAAACATTAGTAAATGAAGTGTAGAAATATATAAAAGAAATAATTCATCAAAACCAACAAGAATATATATGTATTTGCTTAATACAACTTCAATACCATTATCTGCATTTTTGAAATACCTCACTTAATTTTTTTTTTTTTGCTTTTTTGGGTCACACCTAGCGATGCACAGAGGTTACTCCTGGCTCTGCACTCAGGAATTACTCCTGGCGGTGCTCAGGGGACCATATGGGATTCTGGGAATCGAACCCAGGTCAGCAGTGTGCAAGGCAAATGCCCTACCTGCTCTACTATCACTCCAGCCCCGACCTCACTTAATTTTTTACCAAAAGAATATCTCAGTCTTCAAAACAATCTTCACTCACAGTAGACAATGAAGTATAACTTATAATAAAATAACTAAATCAAAAATGTCTTTAATAAACTTTTCTGGAGGGGCCAATGCGATAGTACAGCAGGTAGGGTATTTGCCTTGCACACAGCCCACCCAGTGTTCCATCTCTGGCATCCTATATGGTCCCCCAAGCACCACCAGGAGTAGTTCCTGAGTGCAGAGCCAGGAATAACTCCTGAGCATCACAGGGTATGACCCAAAAGCCAAAAAAGAAAAACCCTGGAAATGCTTGTCTTTAAAACACCTAATCAAATGTAAGCAAGTAGAGGATTGACAACATGAAAATCTTTTCAATAAATCAGACATTTCTCTTTAATTAGTGGTATTTCTTGGTTGGCTAGGAAGAAAAAGAGATAAAGAAATAAAAGTTACCCATAAAAGTGGAGACCCGGGGCTGGAGCAATAGTACAGCAGGTAGGGCATTTGCCTTGCATGCAGCCGACCCGGGTTCAATTTCCAGCATCCCCTATGATCCCCCATGCACTGCCAGGAGTAATTCCTTAGTGCATGAACCAGGAGTAACTCCTGTGCATCGCTGGTGTGACTCAAAAAAGCAAAATAAATAAATAAATAATTAATTAAAATGGAGACCCATCAGAGATAATCTAATTTGACTTTTTAAAAGTCTTTGTCCAAGATTCACAAAAGGTTACTAAAATAATTTATCAGTTTCTCTTCTAGATTATATCAAGCATCATTAATATTGACCCCTCTTGCCCTCACATTCTACTGGGAGTAATATCTCTTGTTATTTTCCCACCCCTCTAACTTGGAGTTTACCATGTGCCTGGATCTGGCCAATAAGCAGCTAGAGGACATGACCCAAAGCAAAGACTTGAAGTCAATTTGCACTATCAGAAATAGGACTAGTAGTAAAAATACAGGGTATCTCATTAAACTGGAATTTCTGATAAAACAACAAATAAAAGTTTATGTAGGTAGATACTGTGCATTGAAATAGATACTTAAACTAATG